AAAAAAAACAACCAAACAAAAACCTTCTAATTTTAAAAAATCTCTCATTTATACCAAGATCTTTTTCATTGATAAAAAACTTGCTCTGGAATCTCATGTAGTCAATTTCAAGCATAAAAATAAATGTAAAAATGTTCATGAAGAAAAAAACAAGCTAAAGTGAAGATTCTTCGCATCTAGTACCAGTTAATAACTAATGTAAACTTAAGGGTTATAAAACTAATGATACAGGTCTATGGCCAACATTCTTACTAATGTTTCAGATGAATACAGGTGATTTATTTGTTTATCAGAATTTCAGAAGGCAATGAAAGGGATATCAAATATATTGTATGCCATTAGGATTCAGAAAGATCTCAACAAATTAGAGTAGTGGGCAGTGAAATGTGATAGGAATAAATGTGGAGCCATCTGACTACAAACCATTCATACAACAAATGTGTCTCCTGTCTTTTATGCATGGGCATTGTCCTGGGCACTGGGGATGTAGTGATTAGCACAACAGATAGTAGACCCTGATTTTGTGAATCCCATTTAGTAGGAATAATGAATATTAATTTTTTAAAATGTTTGCTGTGTGCACGGTATTATGCTTCATGCTGTTCGAATCTGCTTAAAATAGTGTTCCATGAAGCTCATGAAGGATGAGCGGAGACTCAAAAATAAAGGACCAGCCATTACTAAAGTCAGGCCTTGAACCCAGTAGTGTTTGAACCTAGAGCTGTGAGATGTCCAATTCGACAATCACTAATCACATGCAGCAGTATCAGTTCAAATGTCAAATTACTAAAATGAAATAAAATTAGATTCTAATTAACTTTCCTCATTAACGCTAGCCACATTTCACGCGCTCAGGAGCCACCTGTAGTTAGTTGCTACCGTATTTGCCAGAGTGGAGTATAACCTTCCTGTCATGTCAACGTGGGGTGGAGACTGCTCCTTTTGAGTTTGTGCTTTCCTCCTCCCACACTTTGACTGAACCATTAACCTTTTCGTACCCTTGCTCTATTGTATATCTGTCTGCGCGTACATTATTTATCTTCAGTTTTGTGGATTTTCAAGTAAATTGCAGACAATCCTTCTTTAGACAAACTCAGGATATGGGAGACCCAATTCAGTGGGATTAGTCTATATAACAAATAACTGTTGCAACTGTTTCATAGCCTCTTGTTAATGTAATAGTCTGTGGGGCCCAGAAGTTAATCCACTGTCTTGTGTGCCAACTTCACTGCATGTAGTTTACTTTCTCTTCTTTACTTGATTTGAGCCACTTCTAAATCCTTACCCTCTGTGTACGGTTTCTCCCCCCTCCTACCCACCAAATTGCCACTTTGGGGTCCACTTTTCCTTGCTTTTTCACTGGCGGATGGTTCCCCCACTCACCTTCCCTGCATCAGTATTCACTTCACCCTCTGTTTCCTGAGACTGGGTGTTTTCTTGTTTTCTTCAAGGCCAGCCCCTGTACGCATGCTCCTGACCTTTCCTACCTATTTCCTGTGGGGTTTTGTTTCCTCCATTTTCTTCTCTACGCTTGTCTTTGCTCTGGTTTAATCTTTGCTGTGACCCTCTGGGAAACAAGACAGAAAAGCAGACCTCGTGCCTTAGAGGGGATTCTGACACACAGTGGCGCTGTAGAACTGCCCCCGGGTCGCCAAGGCCGTGCGTCTTTATGGCCGGTGGTTCAAACTGTCAACCTTTTCACTAACAGTTGAGCATTGAAACACTGCCCCACCAGGGCTCCTAACTTAAAGGAATTAATAGTTCTTAATGATTCTGGTGTATGAAGTTCCTCGACATAGAAACACCATGAAGGGGCCTTATCTGACTTCCTCTCAGTACACAAGGGAGAAGGTGAATCCAGTTTGACTCAAACCCAAGGCAGATATGCTTCTGTCCCCCGTCCTTCTTCTTCCTACTCTGACACCAACCTCGCCTGGGTCTCTGGCCTTCGCTCTGTCCCGTGGCTCCGTGCCGCAGCCTCTAGTGCCCCTGCTGTCAGCCTCTGCCCCTTCAGACAGAGATCGGGACCCGCTCCCCTGGCGGCTCTTCTCCGCATGGTCCTGGGATTTCTCTGGGCCCCTGCTTCTCAGGTGGCTCATTCTCACGTGGGGCAGGGGTGCTTTTGGTCTTCAGCAGAGCACACTCCCAAAAAACAAGAGGTGTGACCTGAGTCACCCTCTCCACTAAGGTGGAGACTGGGAGGACATCGCGCCTTCATCCTGTGACAGAGGACTCCCTCCGAGATGGGATTGCAACCACCGGCATCGAGGCTGGGATTTGTAATGCATCATGTAAGGGCGGATGGCTAGAAGGGGCTAGCTTAAGTAATTGACTACATCTCACTTAATTGGGACTTGGTCCTCCTTCTGCCCGAAGTGATTCTCTGTGGTTCCTCTTTCCTCCCTGTGGACTCTTGGTTCCAAGTTATCCTTTGTCTCCCATGAAAAGTTGCCCCTATTGTGCTGCATAGTGCCCCCAGCCTCCTTTTTGCCTGTAGGGTCTTGAGAACTCAAAGGTTTCTCTTCATTTTGTGCTCTCTGCCCTTTCGGCATAATCTGGCAGTGTTTCTTTTTAAATCCTTTAAGCCTCCAGTTAACCTTACGTTCACGCCATGAACCAAAAGCCATATTCACAACTATCTTTGAAATGATCTCTTCATTACCTTGGGCTTCTGTGGGGATTGCTGCTGTGCTTCTTAGAGACTAATTGTTTAAATGAGTGGCTCTTTGCTATACCATCTTAGTGCTTTCTGAGATTGTGACAATTTTATAGACACTCTTGTGGCTTCATCTTAAATCATGTTCTTGCTCTGGATTTGATCTTGGCTCAAGTCATTTCTCAATTTTAGTATCACCTACTATCTGAAGAGACTGGGAATTTTCAAAGTTTGTTTCAACTGAATTCCTTTTTATCTAATCCCCTCTCCTCTCATTTTATATGTGCCTTAAGGAACAGTTGGGGGCATCTTCAGCATTCTGACTAGCATTAACAAACCCAGGTCTACTGTCCAAGCTAGGGTAGACAGTAATGTTGTTGCTAAACACAACGCCACTGTAGGTCTAAGGATCCTTTCCCTTCAGTTTCCTATAAGATTTTTCTTTATTTCCCCCTTAGCATGCGCTTGTAATTTCCTAAAAAGTTTCTTCTCTTTCTTTGAGGGTGTCTAAATATTCTCCTCATAGTTCTTCCAGCTTCTGCCCACTTCTAGGTTCTGCAAACATGTTTTGTTGTTGCTGTAGCACCCACTTCCAGGATTGTCATCTACTCCTTGATGACAGTGAGGGAGTTGGACAGCCGCATGGGGCTGCCCCTGGAGTCAGGCAGTCTCCCAGCAAGCATGAAGGTGAAGGGACAGAGAGAGGGAGGATTGACAGGTTGCACTCTACCTCTGCATTGTTAAACGCAAGTTGACATAAAAAAAAAAGGCATAAAATCATCCAACTGCCGCACAGGGCATCTCTCAACTCTGCCCGCCCAACTAACTGCCATCAAGTCAGTGCCTGCTCTTGGCAGCCCTGCAGAACAGGGTAGACCTGCCCTTGTGGGTTTCTGTGACTATAACGTCGATGGGAGTGGGAGGCCTCATCTTTCTCCTGAGAGGCAGCTGGTGGTTTTGAACGACTGGATCTTGTGGTTAGCAGCCCATGGCATAGCCGCTAGGCCCCCAGGGATCCTAGGGACTATCTAATTGGATAGTATGAGCTGCTGCCAGGAGGTTAAAAGTCAGAACAGGTGAGCTAAGCTACATGCATTTTCTTTTGCTAAGGTCTTATCTCAATGTCCTTTGGGCAATAGAGGTCAACTAATTAGGATCACAAACCGAACATTTAAAATGTGCAAAGTGACAAATGCTAAGCATGTATGGGTGTTTGTGTTATAAGTTTGTGAAACACCTTTTGAGAGCTAATATTTAAAAACCCGCTGCTCTTGAATCAACTCCAACCCATAGTGACACTATGTGACACAGTTAAACTGCCCCACAGGGTCCCAGAAGCAGACTACGGCATCGTTTTCCCGTGGGCAGCTGGTAGGTTTGAATTGCCAACTTTGCGGTTTGCAGCTGAGTGTTTAACCACTGCGTCACCGTGGCGTGGTGCAATATGGCATAAAATAAAATCACCCAAAATCCTAAGAAGAGGAACGAACCTTTTCAGTGATGTCTCACACAGAGCAAGCCCGTCGTATAAAGCACATAGAAACAGAACTTCCCTCGAAGACACGCGGCCTAGGACCTCACTGCTCAGCGTGGCATCGCTCTCCGCCTCTCCTCCTGTCGGTGCCAGAGATCCCGGGAGCATAGCTTGGAACGGACACTCCACGTTACAGTGGCAGACCCTTTACCAGCCTCATCCACAGACAGCTTTTCACTGAGAAGCTAGCCAAGCTCGGGAAGATGGCCACAGAGCAAAGTAGCAAGCCACCAGTAGCCGACTGACTGCGATCTCCTGTGTGATCATGAAAAGCCATTGTGTTTGGGGGAAGTGCTGGTGATTGGCCTGGCAGGGATTTCTGTAGAAGGCTTTCATTCTTACCTTGTCATAGCTATTTTTTCCCTCCCCCTGCAGGATAATACAGCAGCTCTTTGCAGGATTCTTTGCAAACTCTGCAATTCCGAGATCCCCCCACCCTTTGTCCTGGTAAGTGTCCTTCAGTCTCGCTCTGGTACAGTAGCAGCTTGTTAGGTGCCGTCGTTCCTTGGCTACCTGCTCAGGTAGGAAGAGCGACCGAGGTGAGTATGCAGCTGTGACTGGCAGCCGGCTAGACTCAGTGTCTTTAGCTACTGCAGCCTAAATGCATCGGAATTTTATATTGTATTGTTGAAGGCTCGGGAGAGTCTTCCTGGCCCCGTAGGATGTCTGAGTACTTGATATGTCTGGTTCTGTTTATATTGAGGTGAGGAAGGAGATGGTCCCTGCCACGTTGGGCACCATATTTGTGGGTTTTCCCCGCTACACGATATGGGAAGATTTTCTTAAAATTTCTAAAATGGAAAACAGATTACACTTTCTTACTCATCAACACGGTTATGCTCCGAAGGCCAGGTCATTACTCGAAAACCAGCCATATGTAAAAGTGAAGGATGGCCACATCATCACCCCCCTACCCCGCCCTGTGAATGTCTCACTGGGCCACTTTTGAGGTTGCTTTACACTGCTGCCTCCCCTTCTCCCACCTCACCTCAGGAGGACTCAGCCCCCACCGCCACCTGTAGGGGAGGGCTGCCCAGTCTGCAGAGCCAGGGGAGGGGGCGAAAGTGTGACCTCCCCATCCCCATGCTCCCCTCCTTCTCATACCCTCTGTGTTTTCAGGATGGCCCCAACTCATGCACTCACTGCCTTATGTGGTTTTGTAGGGGACAAGGGGGGCTCCCTGTCTGTGAGTGGGAAGGCAGGGGTATTGGTTTACCCCACCAACCCCTCATCCTGGCTTCCCCTAGTGCTCACTGGGCCAGCCCTTCCTCTCACCACCCTCATCTCCCTATGAGAATCGACTGTCCTAGGCCATGGTGGCCACACCCAGCTTGTACCCGTGACCTTAAACTGCAGCTGCTAGTGATCCCATCCCTGCCTGGTTAGTGTCCACCAAGGAGAGGACATTGAGGACATGTTAGGGACTGCACAAGTGTCAGTCCCCTGACAAGGAGTCCTGTCTGAAGGCTCCTTTCGACTGTGGCCCTGCTTGTCCTTGCCATCCCTCGGTCCTGAGAGCTGGGACCAGACCCTAGGATCTTGTTTCTTCCACAGCCCCCAGGGTAGCCCACCCCAGGGCATCAGCTGCCACTGCCCCAGCCCCCATGGTACCCAGGACCTGCTAGGCACGCCCCCTCTAGTCCCACTCTGTACCACCTGGCACCCCATCAGCATCCCTTCTCCCTTCCTGGTGGTGAAGTACTGTGCTGTGTGAGCTTTCCTCTATGCGCACAGGGGGCCACCGAGCAGGGGCCCCATCAGGGACACCAGTCTCTATCGTGTGTGTCGTTAATGCGCTAAAGAGTTGAATTGTATATTTTTTGTGATGTGGTAAATGCGAGATGTCAGCTAATGAGATTGTCCATAAGGCAGCAGCAGTAGGTCATCTATTTTCTTTTTCCAAAGTAAAAAGGTTTGTTAGAAGAAACAAAAGTGGCAGACCTAGTATGACAGGGGTCACAGTGGCATTTGCTCTCTCGTTGGGAACATTACTTCGCACAGCTGACTCTGCTCAGAAGGCCCTTCACATGCCGTTTCCCCGAAAGTAAGACATCCCCTGAAAATAAGACCTACTTACAGTTTTGCCTCTCGCTGAAATATAAGGCATCCCCCTGAAAATAAGGCCCCCTGAAGCTACTGTAACTCTGGACTCTGGACCGTAGCGGCAGGCGCTGCTGCGCAGCCAGAGCAGACAGGAAGTGCAAGGTCTCTTTTAATAAAACAACAAACAATAAATGTGTACCGTATTCTTCTTCATGGAAAAATAAGACATCCCCTGAAAATAAGACCTAGTGCATCTTTGGGAGCAAAAATTAATATAAGACACTGTCTTATTGTCGGGGAAACGGTAGTTACTACTTTGTTTCCTTTCTCTGGTTGTCGGGCGGCTGTGAGTCAAGAATTGACTCAATGGCTGTGAGGTTTAGGGTTTTTTGGTTTGGGTTTTGTTTTCGAGTTTCTGAAAACATGTTCCAGCCATAGACGCGGGCCCCAGCAACACCGCAGAGACGTGCTGCCGCCCTTTGTACTTGCTTTCAGTTTTGACGCAGAGAGCCTACCAGGGCTGTTCTCTGCCGCAGGAACGAGGAGTTCTCTCTAGAAAGTAAATCCACATGAGAGTGTGAATCTCAAGGAATCTTTGCCCCTTGGCTGCAGAGGACGAATGCATTCACAGCGGTGAAGGAAGTGAGCTCCTCGGTCAGGTTGTCTGTGGTCTGAAGCAGAGCGTGGTCGCTGCCGCTGCTGACTGTCTGTCTCTCGGGTGTAGGTACGGGATGCTGCACTCCAACCCCGAGGACTACGCCTGGGGTCAGACGGAGCTGGATGCCATTGTAACTCAGGTGAGAGCTGCCCGTGCAGGGGGTTTGCTCCGTGGGCTCAGCGCGCCCAGGCCTCCCATTTTCTGGTGCTCATTTTTTAAATACCATTCACTCAGCTTTCCCTGGTACTTTGAGCCTTTGCGTTTCCATTTTCCTAAGGGATATATGATTTGGGGTCTATCAGCTCAGCATCCATGTGCCTCCTAGGCACTAAGGTCTTTATAGCAGAAAGGAGACGTCTCTTGAGAAACTTTATTGTAATTTTGGCCTCTTGTTTAAGGTGACCAGACGTCCCGCTTTTTAACAAAATTTCCCGCGTCCTGTGGCATTTTTAAAAAGTCCCGATTTTTGGAAAGAATGCACGACAAGTTTGAGTATACAGTTTTCGGCTGCCATGTGGCTATTTCGCCAGGATATGAGGTGTATCGATGGTGCCCCGCTTTACCAATGTTAAAATCTGGTCACCTTACTCTTGTTGCATCCTGTTAAAGAATTCCGTGCCTTCCTTCAAAAGGAGAGTGATCCTGATTACCAAGGAGAAACTGGACTGGTGTTACGTAATGGAGAGTCTTCGTGGGAGGAAGCAGGCTCTGCCAACGAGAGCCAAGTCAGGGAGGAAGCAGAGGGAAAGAAGGGGCAGAGAAGCTTCTCCGTGTCAAGGAGAATCCCTTCCATTGCTGTGTTCATTTTCATTGATGGTGTTGCATTCCCCTGGGGGTTGCTGAGAACAGCAAGTATGTTCATATCAGAGTTGTTATCCGTTAATTCCCCTATTGCTTTGGCTTACCTTATAAGGTGCCCCTGCCTAAGTCATGGGCTTTCCAGTTGCTTCATATGCATGTAAAGCTGGGCGGTGACCCAGGAAGACTGAGGGAGTCATGCCTTCGCACTGTGTTGGTCAAGAGCGTTGAGTGTGCCATGGACTGCCAGGAGGGTGAGCAGCCCAGTGGTGCTGCAGCTTATGCAGTGGGCTGCGAAGAACAAAGACTGTCGTTCACATCCACGGCAACTCTATGGGAGCACGAGGAGGCTGCCTGCTCCGGCAAAGATTGGTGGTCTTGGTAACCCCAAGGGGCAGCTCCCATCATCCTCTAGGGTGCCTATGAGTCGTGCGTGGTCGAGTAGAGCGTCCGTGAAAAAGAGGAAGACCCTCGGCCAAATGGGTTGACCAGAGATTGCAGTGATGGTCTCAAACAGCAACAGGTGTGAGGATGGTGTGTTACTGGGTAGGGTCGGTTCTGTTGATGGAGTCACTGGGAGTCAGGTCCAGCTTCATGGTACCTAACAACCACACGCTGTGTTCCATACGCCCATCCATTTCTTCCTTCCAACAGAGAGTAATTTTCTGACCAGTTAAACATTATTTTTATTAGGCTGTAGTTTTATTCATGACATCGCCAAATGCTGCTGAAGTTGCTTATGTCCTCAGGTGTGTCCTTGGTCAGTCTCTATCAGCTTAGACCAGTGTCAATTATGCGTGTTCTAGCAGCATGACTCATGCTTATAGCGATATAGAGGACAGACCAGAACTACTGCCCTTTTGGGTTTCTGAGGCCGTTATTTTTTACGAGGGCAGAAAAACCCATTTTCCTCCCAAGGAGCAGTTGGTGGTTTTGAACTGTTGACCCTTTGGTTAGCAGCCCACTGTTTAATCCATTACACCACCAGGGCTCCTTCAGATTTGACTCAATGGCAGTGGGTTTGCTTTTGGCTTTAGTGGCAGGAAAGGGGAAACCTGTGCCTCTTGGAACCTTGTGTACCCTTTCCATGAGCTCCACTGTTTTTTCTCAACTGGAGCATCACCCTTCCCCAGGGATATTGCGACAATCTGCTATTTGTTGCCTTCTGTGTTAGTCTGGGTAAACTAGGGAAACAAATCCACAGAAACTCAATATATAGATAAGAGAGAGTTTTATATGAAGGTAAGTGCACATCAAGAAAGCATCCTAACCCAGTGCTGTCCAAGCCCATAAGTCCAACATTAGTCCATATGTCCAACATCGATCTACAAAGTCCTCCTCCATCTCACAAAACACACGCAGTGACGCTGACTGCAGGAGGAAAGCCGAATCAGTGAGTGTGTAAGCATCTCAGTGCTGGCAGGGGTCTCCACACAGCTGCTCCAGCACCCAGGGCTGCATCAAGATAGGTCCATGTGGCTTCTCCTCAGGGATGTCTTGCAGGAAGTGAGCCTTGCCAGCTGAAGCAGGGAACTGGCTAAGGCAGCTGCACCCTGGTCCAACCATCAGAAAGCAAGAGACCTGAGAATTAGAAAGGCGAGGCTCACCGAGCCATTTATCCCTCCGCCCTTCAATTAACCCCACGTGTTTTTAGGCCAGGTTGGCACAATAAACCTTAACTGTCTCAGCTTCCTCAGTTGCTGCTTTTTATTTCTCTGGTAGCTTTTAGGACAACTGGAAAACACAGGGCCTCCCCCTGCGGATAAGGAAAAGATCTCATCTCTTCCAACAGTGACAGTGACTCAGGAACAAGTTGGTAGGTTCATTTTTATTCTTCATCTTCTGTCACCTTCTGATCTCCATTCAAAGCCCCAGCACCCGCCTGTACTAAGGCTCCTGAGGTGAAGCTATGCCATCCATGGATTTCTGAAGTCCCCTTGTTTAAAAGGATCTAATTACAGGAAGCAAAACTTGTCAAACATCACAGTGTGAGAGGTGGTGTCGAGCAGGTGACACAGACCTGAGAGGAAAGAGAAGAGGGGAAGGTCAGGAAGTTGTGGGCTTTTGCCCCTCTGCCGTTTGGCAGGGACTGCTGGGTGCATCAGACATCGAAGGTCTCTTAATTTACATGTGAGCATTGGTAAATTTAGTGATAGGGGACATTCTTTTGGACTGGAGGTGTTTCAACCCCTCTCCCCTGACCCCAACACACACGTTTAGAACCAGAGACAGTTCTAAAGACAAGCTGGGTGGGCTGTGTTAGAGAGGGCAGGGCAGGTCCTTCTGTTGAAGGAAAGTGTGACTACCCGCCCCATGGGCGTGGTGTCTGCGTTTGGCATCTGGTTTGGGGAGGAGTGGGAGGTATGACAGAGGATCCTGGGGGTTGTGCTGTTGAAGCACCTGACTGCGAACTGAACCGTGAGTGTGTGTGGGAGTCTGCTCTCAAAGTTTACAGCCTTGGAAACCGCTCTGCGGTGCTGGCAGGGATGCTATGAGGGGAATCAACTTGACAGCAGTGGGTTTTGTTTGGGACAGGGCCTGGGGGAGGGCTACCTAGGAAGGGTCTCAAAAGCAGGTAAAACGGAATCTTGTAGGGCCTCAAACAGAGGAGTGAGGGATGAATGTACCTGGTCTTCAGGAATGGGTAACCTGGAGGCAGCGTGTGAACTAGATTGGCTGGGGAGAGGGCAGTCGTAGGGATTTAGGGGGCGCTTGATTTACAGCCTGAGAACCCCCCAGGGCAGTTTTCCTCTGTCTTATGGGGTCTCTGTGGGTCAGAATCGGGTCCCAGACAGCATGGCAGCCGTCCAGGTGGAGGTCATGCTAGCAGAGCAAAGGGTGTCTCAGAAGGTCCTGTTGAACAAAGGCTTTCATCTGTGACTGTCTGGTTGCATGCAGAAAGGGAGAGGGTCCCAGAAAGCTGTCAGACTTTACTGCAGAGTAGCAGCCCAGGTGGCGCTCCCACCAACAGATCC